AATTTAAGAAAAACTTTAAAATAGGATCTAAAGTTTAAGATCAAATCACTATAATTTTATTATATGCAGTATATGTTCTCTCTTTTTATAACAGTACTTCTCAAATATTTAGATTCAGGGTATTTTTATATTCTTAAAAATTATCAGGAACCCCAAAGAGTTGGCTTTTGTTTATTGAGTTATATCTATTGCTGTTTATCATATTAGAAATTAAAACTTTGAACACTTAAAAATATTTATTCATTTAGGAATAATAGTAGTGAATTTATTATCTATGAAAATAAGTGATATATTTTTATGAAAAATAATAAAACTTTTCAAAATAGAAATAAGTTAGCCAGAAGATTAGCATTGCTTTACATGTTTACACATCTTTTAAATACCAGTAGAAGGCAGCTGGGCTCTCCTATCTGCTTCTGCATTCAATCTGTTGTGACATCACAGACCATTTAGCCTCTGGAAAATTTCACTGTATCTTCATGAAAGAATGAGAGAAAAAAATGGAAAATAATACATTATTTTGAGAACAGTTTTCCCTTGGTGACACCTGAAAGGGTCTTACAAATCCTAGGGGGTCCCTAAGCCGCACTTTGAGAATTACTGTTCTAAGATCATTGACAATTTTTAGACATCAGTATTTTAACTGGTTTTAGGGATGCTTCCGGTTCCTTTACAATAAGGCTTTACTGATACTGATCTCGATTCTGTTGCTGTAGTACATCATCATATAATTTGTCCCACACAGTGTCAGTAAAAATGGAGCATGGTGTTCTATAGGAACAAACAACTCCCAAATCTCAATGGGTCACCAGGCCTCTGCTCAGAGGACCCTCATCCTGGACTCTGTCTCTGGCTGAGGAGCAGCCACCCCATCTGAAATGACAGTCACTGTGGTAGAGGAACAGAGAGCATACCTAACTAGGTGCTGGCTCTGAGCTTTTCTGCCAGAGTGATACCCATTGCTCCAAGGGAGATATAATCTTACCTTGGCCCAGAAGAAAAGAACATTGAAAAATGTGTGACCATCACAGAGGGTGAATGAACAAAATATTTTTTGAGTCCTTGTATATCTAAGTATTGATTGTGCCCTTATACATGAATAATTGAACAGGGTGTACATTTTTCAATTGTAATTATTTTTGCCCCATTCTCAAGAATTGGATGGGCGTACATTTTTCAGTAGTTTCCTTTTGCCTCTAGGTTTATAGGCTTGCATAATTATTTTAGACATTTAGGGTTTCAAATTTACTTGTTTTTCCCTTTAGGATTTTTCCCCATTTATGCATATTCTGGGAAATTCTTCCGCCTTTATGTTATAACAATTTTGGTTCAGTTTTTTTAAAATTTCACAATCATTTTTAATTTCCAAGGTCTCTGTCTTATTTTCTGGTTGTTTCTTTTCTGCATGGCATTTTTGGTACAATATATTCTCTTTCTATATTACTCTCTCTCTCTCTCTCTCTCTCTCT